TATGTATATATTTATATTATATTTTTCATAGGTACATTATTGGATATGTAATTTACAGTTTTTTTTTTTTTTTGTTTGCAATTTTAGTGGGCGAGATGTGAGGGGGAATGACAACTAAAAGAAATGGGGTGATTGATATGCTATTAATAGGGAGTATATTAATTACAATTATGGCAGTTAATGAAATGCTTGAAATAAAATTATAAATAAAATATGAAGTTTAGTGGCAACGATGTAAAAACATAGAAATACTACGACCTCTTATATCCTACTGGTCATTTAAATTTGAAACTGGGTTTTACACATAGATTTATAGAGTGATGGGTATATGTCTAGGAAATAGAAAATGTAGGGGTCTATATTGGACAAGCTCTTCAAATAAAAATTTAGTCAATCAATGGAACAAATTGACATTCATTTTATCAGGGAGCATGTTATCGGAAAAAAAATATTATTCTACAGTTAGTGTCCTCCAATGAACAATTTGTAGACATTATTACCAAAGGCTTTTCAACTCATTTCACTTTCTCAGACATTGTCACAATCTCATGCTTGGCTGTTCCACTCCTGAGATTGCGGGGGGATGTTAGAGTCATATATTAGACAGATCAGATTGTGACAAGTGGCACTATCTAAGCCTAGTTTTGTTAGCTCAACTGTTAGTGTTGTTAGAGTATTGTTGATGCACAAAAATGGATGAACACTATTGGACCCAACTTAGGAGTGAGGATGTCTTTGGTCTTGTGGGCCATTCGGTAGACGTGAGTAATCTACAAGACAAAGAGCAATGGTAAGACCTTGGGTATTTGTGTGATACCAGTCGAAAGCTCTCCGACACTTCATTTAGTTTAAGGACAAAGTGATTAATATATTGGACAAAGTAAGGACTTGGTAGCCAAAATCAATGTTACCTCGTTTTCTGGGACTTTAGCCCTTTTTATAGAAGACCAAGGTGGTAGACCTTGGATTATTATTTCGATGTGGGATTGTGGGCATTGCCTGAGAGGTTGCCACCTGGCTTTACCCAAACTGGTGTGGCAAGTGCCTTCTTGAGCTAGACCGGCAGGTTAGGTTACCGAAGGTTAACCTACTGCCGATGGTTTATATGTTTAGCCTCAATGTTTGCACTGGGCTCTATGGGCTTCCCTTGTAGGTCCCATGTTCCACATGGCATGAAACTAATGGCCAAGATCATCATATATGGTATAAACAAGTATCTCAATCTGTTAGAGAGGTTAGAGTGGTGGTTGTTATGCTAATGCTCTATATAAACACTTTAATCAGTGTGTTGTACAATCATCTGAGCTATTACAATCAATAAGATCATTTATTTTCTCTATTGCTTAACAAGGAACAACTTGTGTAAGTTTATCCATTTTCAATTTCAATCAGTAATATAATCTTAATCAGCAACAAGATCATCAATATGTTCAATGGAAGAGAGACTGCACAATAGAAGAAAAGAGTTCCAGAATTTTTTTATTAAAACATTAAATAAAAAGAAAAGTTGTAAGCAAATATCAATATTTTTGGCTATATAGATATAAGCCCACTAATAATATAGTGATGTAAGGCAGTGACGAAATCGATGGCGTTGGACGACTTTGTCCCTCGGGCAGAGTCGTGGAGTTGTACAGAAAAAGAGTATTGTTTCAGATTGAAGCCAGCCACATACAATTTCTTTCGGACGTACGCTAAAGAGATGACATATAAAATAATATATTATTATTATTAAAGCATGTTCCGTGTGAATATAATGAAAGGTCTACGACTTTGGATAAAATTAATTAGAGAAAACAGTGTAATAATTAGTGGCAATACTTTAAAACTTTTGTTA